GCTTGCTAAACCGATCGAAGTCGTAGACTGCGAATACCAACGTTTTTGCGGTGATCTCGTTGAAGGCAACCTGAACGAAATCCGCATGGAAAGTGAGTATAGATTCGATTACCCACCAAAAAATCGAACGAAACAATTTTTACAGTAGTAATGCAGTTCTAAAAGGAGACGAAAACGGTGAAATGGCAAAGTTGTGACTCACTTTGAAAATGAATGTCTCGTTGAACACCGGATTGAGGGTCTTTCGATGGACTTTTGTTTCGACTTTCTTCTTCTTTTCGGGTAATAGGTAAAGTTTGACGTATGGATCGGATGTGCCACTCATATCCATACCAGGTAGGTCCTCCGCTTGGATAACGGTAACAGAAAGCTGAAACGGGTTCTCATGAAGTTATTGTGAGCTGACCACGAGCTGTTGAAATCTCGCCACAAACCTGTCCTTGTTGGAAGTCGTAATCGAGTTTATACTGTATTCGTCCGAGTTTCACCTCCTCCTTTTCCTCAGCTTGAGCTTTCTCGTTTTGTTCCATGTTCTCTTCTAACTCTTCCATGTCTTGTTGAATCTGAATATTTAATGATGGCACTAATATGTATCATTAGTGACTTCACAACCTCTTCCCCTCAAATCGTCCTGGAAAGAAACACAGCACTCCACCATACCCAACCTATAACCCGTCCGAGGTGAATCATCGAACCGGGTTCTTGGTCGTCTTCCTTGGAATACCCTAACCCTATATTCTCCCCTCAATATTAGGCTCACTTTGTTGGTTGAATAGTTAGCTTATCTTGCCAAAGTGTCGGCGGCCCCACTATCAATCAGCGCAACGTGCAGCCTGACCAAGAACTTCACATCATCTACCTATTATTGATGATCGGGTTTGCCTGATAAGTTTCCCCATGGCTTGATTAGGATTGCAAAATGAGCCAGAAAGATACATGGACTACAGAGATTAATAAGTACGTAAGCAACTTACTCCTCCCATTACGTCCTTCCCGGCCATGAGGTCACCACCTTTGCTAAACAATCCCTTGAAGCCTTTGTTCTTGTTCTTTTCACCATGTCGCTTCTTTCCGAACAGCTTTCTGATGATCAGGTATGCTATGAGGAGAACGACGATAATTGCGATTATACCAAGGAAGACGAACGCCCATTCTGGCACTGAAATAAAACAAAGCATTAGTAAAGGCTGTTCCAAATTCACCGCACAAAAACCTGGTCATGCGTTGTTAGGCTTCTGCCACGTGGAGCGCTGATTGTGAGTTGAAATTCAATAAGCCTTCCATTCAAGAATGGCTTCCTTGCTCCTAGTGCTTCTGTCTCCCAGTCACGTTGACTAATTGAAGCAACGCAAAGAACACGCGAAGAACAAGACTTGGAAGTCACAGTGTCCACCGCGAAGCAATCAAGGAAATCTGAGGCCGTGCTCGTCTTTTTATTCCTCAGGTTTAGCCAAACTTGGAGGCAAGATTTGCTTATTAGATATGCTTACGTCAATTTCCTAGTTAAAGACTGGGTAGGAATGAGTGTCCCCTAACTTCGAAACACATGCAATTTAGCAACCCAGCGCTGCATCGGGGACTCTTAGACCGTTATCCGGGCTCAGGCTCATCTCAGGAATGGTGTCATGATTTCCAGAAATCGTAAGTATCGGCTTTCCCATTAGCGGCAAGGAGTTTTTTGTCGCTCATTGCAGTGCACTAATCCTCTGCAGTATGGCATCGTTGTTGTGTGACGCCAGCATCCAACCTTTTTTTTTAATTCAGGAATCTTTTTGGAAGATGGCGTTAGGGCTTGTTCCGTCATAGGAAACCTCCAAACGGTCTGCTCTTCAAAAAGTTTCATAGTGCAACTCGCAATCAGGGATCATATATCGCTGTTGAGGACCAAAACATCAAGGAGAATCACTCGAGAATTGCACAGCTTTCGGGATTTCAGGTTCAGGTCCACCCGTGTTGAGGGGATACATTTCAGGTTTACCTAACGTAGACCCCTTCACACGGTTGAAGCTTCTCCGTGTAGAAATAACGGCGACGCTTCGCACGCCGCCGTGGGATTTCCAAAAACGATGCTTTCAAAAGTGCAGCTCTAGTACATTTGATTGATTTTTGCAATACCTCCAGCGAAAAGTAGATAATTTGCTTTAAGACTCTCCTCTAAGACTATGTGCAGTCATTTCATGTGGATTGCATGCGTCACGCTCTAATGATGGGTTACTGTAGTTTCATAGCGATATAAGATTAAATGCATTAAATTACACCATTTGAGAGGACATTTTTTCTGTTTCATGGCCGCGAAGAGAAGGCTAACTTTATCTTTGCAAGTACT